CACATTACATATGTGCTACACATATAATGGATCGGATGCAGATAAATTTTCAATCAATAGATAGGTACATTTTGGTTGCGTAAATAATACTCGTATACATTAAGAGTTCGTTTAGATACGTATCTGAATCTATCGCTACTACAATTTATTTAAATCATTTATATGTATGTACAATAAATTTTTAATACAAAACTTTCAATGTGTACATTAGCTTACGTCATTAGATTGCTGTCATCATCATTTGACAGTTAAAAGCTTTGTTAATAAATATAGATACTTTATACACGAAATAAATCGAAAATTTTGATAGGTTAATAACCTAATGTCATATTTCTACAGTCTCAATTACTCATTTATTTTAACATAAATTAGAGACGAATATTATATTTAAAACCAATATGTAAAGTTAATTAGAAATAATATTAAACCTAAGTTTAATCTGTGGCGATAGATTTAATGTACAATTACTTTCAACAAAATATACAGAAATGAGTACAATGTGTTTTAAATCAATAGGTACTTACATTTAATATAATTTTCAAAAAATATATTTAGAATAGATGAAAAGAATATTACTCCCTACAGCGTGTGCTATTCTCTGAAGTATTTAATTATTTTTTAAACCAAAACTATTAAACGCTTCTTACAGATGCAAAAAAAAATTACATCAGACTAACATCTACATTATTACGAATATGAATTTAATATAAAGATTATATAAAGAGCAATTTAACATGTTTCGAGAGCAATAAAACTTAGTTTATCTAGAAGAGATTGCGATAGCTTTAGGAAAGAAGAGATTCATAACAATAGTAGCTTTATACATCCTTATCTGAGTCAACACTTTTCAAATGCTTCTGGTAATTGTATGTATTTAAATAAATAAAATCGTCTTATTCTTCTTCCCAGACCGTTTTCCCAATTATTTGGGGTCGGTCTTCATTGGCCTGTTTTTACATAAAATTTCATTTCGCAAAATTTTGAACCTACACACTGCAAGTAGCTTAGTAAGTTTATTTGCAAGAAATAAAGTAGCAAATTCATTAGTTAATTGGATGTTGTAAGTATTGGGATGGGCACAATAGTTGAAAGAACGGATATTGCGAGCCGTAGCACGTTTAGCCATATAACAAGTAGATTAGTTTATCAATGTACAATGCTTGATTGTTAAGAAATGTTTAGAAGTTTTCTTTATACATTTAATTTAATTCCGCTCTACAAAACACAGGTATATGATTTATTTAGTGTATAGAAGCCGTAAAAATATTTACGTAAATGAAAGAAGTCCAATGATTTTGTCATAGGACATTTTCAACGATTTTTACATTAAGTCTACGTTTAGTTTATCTACGCTTCTGATATTTCTCAAAACTCCACAGAAAAGTGAAAATTAAGTAATCTAATTAATATTATGTTATCTTCTGACATTGACAGGTGAAGTCCAATCAATCAATTTGAGTTCACTATGAATTTTTGTGTCCATCCAATGTAGATTTTTCGTTATTAATATGACATTTTTGTATTTTTGAACTTTTCAGTTTTTGGCTTGGTTACTTTTAAATAATTTTGTGTTGTTGTAAGTGCTGGTAACATAACTATAATCTTCTATATAAAATAATAATAAATATTAAATAAACGAATTTATTCGATTCGCCAAATTCGTTATTGTTTCTCCACAAAGTATTCAAGATTATAATTCGTCCAACAAATAAAAACGTTGACATTAGCAAATTATTCCCCGATTTCAATGCGAATGCAGCTCTAAAATAAAAAAATATTTAAGTTTCGTTTGCTCATAAACAGAGGGTCAAATCATGATCCATAACCGAAATTTAAGGAATATTACCGAGAAAGCTGTTTTGTACTCAATTAATTCCATTTTACAATATGAATTTACTTATGTATTTTACAAAGTTTTCGTTAATTTACAAAGCTATTGCATTGTTATAAGTAATATAGTTAAATATTTAAAGAATAACTTCAACGTATTTTACATATAAAGCTTTAAATACTTGTGGCAAAATCAATATGGATTGTGCAACATCGCTATAGTTACATCAATAATATAATAATAACTTGAAAAATTTAATTAAATCAGAGTACTTATTTACAAATACATATATATATATATATATATATACTAGAAGACCTGGCGAACTTCGTATCGCCCTATAATCAAGAAATATCTATTACGTTTTTTTTATTTATATTTTTGGAGTTTACCTGTAAGCCATAAATATCCATGTTTTGAAGTGCGACAGAATGATTGACATATTAGTTAGTTGTCAAAACTTATGTAAAAAAAAACGTTTGTATGGGAAATAGAAAAGGGCTGTTTTTATGGTTTTCCCAGTAATTAATCAATTTTTTTTCAGCTTTTATACCTTCCCTGAACCTCCACAAACATTTCAAGACTAAGATAAGATAAATCCGTTCAGCTGTTCTCGAGTTTTAGCGAGACTAAGGAACAGCAATCCATTTTTATATATATTAAGTACACTGGTATAAAGGGATTATGAATACCGATACATGAAAAAAATATTTATATGTATGTTTTGCACCACGCGAAGTATACATATATTTAATTAGCTAATTAAATTACAACAATACCAAAATGATTTTACTTTCCCTTAAAGCAACACCGAAAATAAAATTTTAAAAGTTACATGAGTAACTTCTTAACGCCTTTAGCGCCTTCTTTTTCTTAAAGAGGTAAAGTTAATTAAAAATAAAACATAAAATGTATGTTTTTTTTCTTTTTTTATTTGAATAAGTTATGAATTTACGGTAATTTTTTTTTGTTTTAGCATTAAGTCCTAAACTCATTTTTTAAGAATTTTCTTGTTGATAACATGTTTACTTTAGTTTAGTCAGACATTGTTTAAACGCTAAATTCCAGTATACTTTACTTTTTATGATAAACTTAAATATTTTTGATTAATAATAAAAATTACTTAAGAAAAAAGGCGTTAATTTAATACGTCATTGTTTTTTTAAGACAGAAGTATAATTTACATACAACGAAGACAATAAGAATTATTAAAGGAGTTCTTTTAAAATAGGCAGTCAATTATTACTATTACAGATTATATAACAAAATAGTATATTTAACACATCATATAATTTATGTTCATTCATTCAATTTTATGTTCAGTCAAACATTCATTATGTTTAGTTCACTTCCTCTTCCTACATCGTCTTGGCTGGATAACAAACGCACTAGCCGTTACCCTGGATAATAGGGTTCCCAACTTAATTGCACAGATGTCATGATGTTCGAAGACTCATTAATTCAAACAATTGCTGTTAGATATTACGGAAGTTTTAACTGATTCATAAGAGTTTTAATGTTTAAGTTTTTAATTTAAATCTCATAAAAATTACTTTAACAGAATAGATTTAACTAACTTATGTGCCTTATTTAGATGTTACTTATTATGAACAGTGCAATTAATTAATTCTTAACTGTAGGATTGCTGTAAAGTTACTATTTTATACATGCATTATGATTTAATATAATACCTAATAAGTATTTACTTTAAAAAAATATATACGCTCTTTCTTTTTTATATTTGAAATATATTGAATTGAAATATATTTGAAATATATTTGAAATATATTGAAGTGAATTATATTATAAAGGATAAGTTTTTTTAATTAAGAACAATAAGCCATCTTTCGTAAAAAATAATAACTTCTTTTTATAATTTCGGCTTAAATTTTATACACTTCATTCAGCATTTAAATTTATATATACCAACATATTTATAGATTATTATAATCAATAAGATTATATCAAATGAGTTGCCTTACGAAATGTTAAGATAATATATTGAAATTTTATTTCAGGCTTTTCCTTTCATTATTAAATAAAATAATAACTTACCACTTTTTCTTAAAAAATTAAGGAGTCCACATCTATATTCACGTTCATATAAATAAATATAAAACACAGGTTATATTAAACAACATATCATAACAATTGTATTTCATAGAAAGTTTCTGAACATTTTCCCGCGTCTTTCACACGCCACTGACGTCTTACGGTGCGCGCGTTGTTGTTTGAACTGAATGCGTCCAAGCTTGGCCTTGCGCTACCAATAATTTTAACGGGATTTACGGCGCTAGATTAGTTGATTACTAATTATTTTTCATAATCTTCAATTTTTATTTCCAATAACTAGTTATTTCCCGCCATACTTCGAAAAATTTGCAATGGCTATGATTATCGGTAAGTAGAGTAACATGAAATAAAACTACAAATATAATATAAAAACTCTTTTATATCATCTTAATAAGAAAATAAGTTAAACAATGTTTTAAAGGATAAATAATATTATAATTCTTATCACGACTTCAATATTTATTATTATATAAAGTACAATTATTTTTAACTGGGGAAGATGACATAGCAGATTACCCTGACTTCAACTACCACCTTACATAACAATAAAAAAATTTGTAATAATTTTCCTAAAATAATAATTTATAAAAAAATAAAGCTAATATTCAATACCCACACCAATTCTCAGTCTAATAACCAAAATTTTTTTTCAATTAAAATAAAATTAATTACATCAGGAAGGAAAATAAATTAACATTTTACCATCTTAAAAATAATCGCAAATCATTAAAAAAAAACAACTAAATCTCCCCTATTTTCATTAACTCCAATGTCTTTATAAAATATATCATTTTATATTAGGTAACAATGCAAGCAAAGTAACTAATAACCATTGTTCAAGTACAACTTATGATAGGGCAAATGTAAGAAATAATTTTAATTCATTTAAATAGACCATTGCTTCTAAAATCAGAGTTTAAATACCAAGGAGGTTAATATAATTTTATACTAACATTAAAATACTCAGTTCCAAAATATATTTTTCAATGAATTAAATTTAATTATTTAACCAACTATATTAATATTGCATTTCATAATATAACTAAAGCTACAGTAACACACTTTATGGTGAATATATTCCGATGCTTAAACATGATTATGTCTCTTCAATATTAGGATTTTCCGAGAATAGTTGATGATCGTTATAGGTTCGGAGATACTTTTTGGTGAATATATAAAGCAGGAGGCCCCACTTCATCATCATGAACGACCATATCATCCGAATAATTATGCTTGTTTGTATTGGAAGAACATCTGAAATACCAACAAATATTAACTTACAAATATAATAAGAAATCAAAGTAACAGAAACGGCACATCTTCAAAAATAAATATTATTATACAAATGCCTTAATTAATATTTAAACAATTTTATAGCTCAATCAAGAATAATAACTTACCAGCTTTGTAATAAATTTCTAGAAACAGATAGAACATTGTCAATGCAGCGCCAGACACAAAACCGATAATTCCAAAATCTCCTATATATTGAAGTGCTTTTCTAGAAAAGTTGACGTGTAAGCTCTCCTTTAAATAATGACAATGTATCATTAAACTAAGGGAAGCATGGATAGCTGAAACAAAAAAAAAGGATCATGACCTATCTAGTAATTTCTTTTATTTAGTTTATTATATACTGATGATGAAATTGAACTTGAACTTGTTACAAACGTCATAACTCACCGGATAATAACGCCCACATTCCGGCTTCGATGTTTGCGTAAACTATGCAAAAACATATAAATGCTGACAAACCTACAATTGCACCTAACGCGCTTAACGCTATATGAATTTTAGTACGTAACATTATTAACGATTATTCTTCGTTACGTGGTTTTAGTTTTCACCGGTCGTTTTAAAAATGCTAGCACAAAAGATGTCGAGATTTATTTTATTTCGCGTACTTATTATTGTTTAATGTTTAGCATCGAGCAATAATAAAGACTGTTGAATGTTGACATAATAGGTCTATGACACTATAGATAATATTTGAACTACGTAACATAGTTAACTAGATGAATCCATAGTGTTGACTGCGCAATTTGTATTCTTTTAGTAGGAACATTGATATATCCTTTGAAACTACTGTCAAATATCAATGCAATTGCCTTAGTTACAAGAATTTTAGTTGAAATATTTAGTGTTTCTATGGCTTCTATGGCAGAAAAATATTAATTTGTCTTTAATTACATACGATTGGCATGTAAAATGTTAGAAATGACAACTGTCGTCTGTCACTAAGGAAATATTTTAAAAATATATCATATTCCCGCCCAATTGTATAAAGGTCAAAACAGGTTTTTTTTGTAAACAGAGAGTTGTTATGTAATTCAATTATTCATGTTATATTTTTTAGGACAATAATCAATTAATACAAAAATTTGGGTAAATAAAATTAAGAAAATGAAAGCGATTTTTTTTATATTCTAGTGAACTAGACTAAACTAGACCTACAATAAAATTTCAATATTAGTATTCTATAATTAAAATACATAATAATAATAATCATTGAGGTTATAAATATTAACCTTACTTCTCAATGTAATAAAATGCGACATATGAGATGAACGAAAAATGTTACGCTGTTGTGTTACCAAACTTTAATTTTGATAGTACAATGCTTACATAATGAACTATAGGTTAAAAGCCGTGTTTTTACCTAAATAGCGCTTAACAATCAATGTTCATTTTGTATATTTTAAGGTAGAGATGTAAATAATTTTCTTTAAGAAAGACTATATGATACAGCACCAATGTTAAACATATGTACTGCATTTATATTCATTTTAAGAATTGTTATATAATAATAAAACCACCTTACAGACTATTCATCTGTTTTATATAATTTATGTGAAACGGTAATCCTGCGGGACGAAAGTGAATGAAGCCATGGCGTTAATAAAAAAAATATCCTCTAAGTCATCGATGTCAATTTTGGCGCTCATTCAGATAATTTCAAATTTTTACAACTTTTTACCTTACATACCTAATAAAATTATTAAATTAAGTACAATTAATTTCAATCATTATCATTTTATTTATTAACAAAATTTATAGAAAGACGCGTGATGTATGTTATATATAAAAATAACATTGAAATTATCAAGGCCTCACTTTAAAATAATTAGAAACTATAGTTTTTATATGTATATTTTATACTTGAAATGGACGAAAAATATATTTTTTTGTTTCAGCAGCAATCGTCATAGATGATTACGACAGATTATGAATTACAGCTTGGTAAGAGATAGACAACAAAGTCTTAATAAGAAACCAATTTCGAAGACAGGATTCCATATATATTTAATTTTATTGTAGATTGCATGAATTATTTTCATGAAGCTTCAGTCATAGTCATTGTTAATAGTTAAATATAATATGTTTCATATTAATATAATTTAATTTTTTTTAAGTCAGTCTCTTTTTATAAGTACTAATTAGGATTTATGATTAACAAAATTAATCAAAACTTAATTGAAATCTTTATTAGTATTCATAAAAATATTAAAAAAGAAACATGAATAAGAAACTTTGTGTTGGATATGTAATAGAATCTATCAAAGTAAATTATTCAACAGACAACCTTTGATAAATACAATAAATGAAATAATAAAACATTTTAACAATATTTCTCAACAATTAATACATAAAAAAGACTATGTTTTCAATAGTTTAAGATAATTGGGCTTTAATTTGCTAAGAGTATCCTCATCTAGTTCAGATTTTTTATGTGTTTTCATGTGACTTTTCATATTGCCTCTTTGGGCGTAACCTCTCTTGCAAATTGGACATTTGAAGGGAGTTTCTCCAGTATGAAGACGCATATGCTCTTTCAAGTATTCTTCATGGAAAAATTTTGAATCACATATTGTACACACCGCTGGTCTATAGCCTGTGGAAAAATAAAAATTAAAATACAATCATTATTAACAAATTTATTACTATGAATTATATTTGATATATCTACTATCATACAATAGTGCTCAATACTTTTATTATTTTTCCTAATAAGTCTATTTGGATTTTTTTAGTACAATACATCACTAAGTTCATACAAGTAGAATATTTAAACACAAGATTCTGATTTTCAGATACAAAAATTAAATTATATAAAAAAATTCTTAGTTAACGAACCTGTGTGAGCAGACCGTTCATGAATAACAACTGACTTAGCACATTTATATGTCTTGCTACAAAATTTACATTGGAAGTTCTTTTTAAGTTTCAGGTGTTTCTCATGTACATTTCTATGGTGTGAAGTTAATTCTCCACTAAAAGTGAACCCTCTACCACAAATAGCACATACAAAATTCTTCTTTTTCTCATGTTTCCTCATTATGTGTCTTTTGAGGTCGTAATTGACATTAAACATTTTTGAGCAATATTTACATTGAAGGCGTTTAGATTTATGGGCTCTCTTCTTGTGAACGGTCAACTTGTCATGGGATTTAAAAACTTCTCCACACAGGTCACACAATTTTGGTGGCTTTGGTTTTCTTATCTTTGCAATTGGTATTTTCAGTTGTCTCCTGCCCTTATTGCATATTTGTTTTGGCTTTACTGCTTTATTTTTAATTTTGTTTGATGACACACTAAAAAATCACAATAAATATGAAAACAAAATGTATTGTGGTAGCTATACAGGGTGACTGGTGAATTACTATCGATATTTGAGGACGTGATATTTGACGATCATATATGACAAAATAAAAATTAATATAACATAAATATTAATAAACTTCTAAGTAAAGTTAACCAAAAGTTGTGTAATTAATTACGCATCGTATGAACACCCTACAGATTAGGTATACACACACACACACATACGCGCGCGGCGGCGTGTTGTTGTATCAGAACGTCGACGCACGCGTTCACACTTGGAACACTTGGAACGTGTACACACTTTATTTATTTATACGGAAATTTGGTCAAAAATTAAGTACCTATTTTTTTTACATAATTCGAATGAGAATCATGTACCGAGTATGCTCCTTAAATATTGATAGTAATTCACCAGTCACCCTGTATACTGTTAGTACATTTCCAAGTAATGATTCAAAAAGAGGGGTGTTATAAATTTGACATTGATATCTATGTATGTGTGTGTGTGTGTGTACATGCAATATTAGATCTTATAATATATACACCAATTATAATGCAGATTTATTTATTTGTCAGCCAATTACTTTCTGTGGACCTTAGTATGTTTGGTTAACATTGGTCAAGACGTATCAAAACTATTGACTTTAATCCAAAATAATGTAAGACTAGTGGTTTACACTTGAAAGTGTAATATTTAAATGACAATTAATGAGTTAAAGATATCTCTAAATTTTATATAGTTGCTTACACAATAAACTATGTATTAATTTGTTTCTTCAAAATACATGTTTAAAAATTTTGTGGAATGAATTTAATGAATATTTAAAGAATTAGACAATAAATTAATGTTTTTTATATATTACCACCATTCACTTCCATTCCATGAGAATTCACCTTCTAAAATGGAAGATGCAATTTTATTAGATACTTCCAAACATTTTTTTACAGAAGATGTCTTTGTTGGTAATTCCAGTCTTTCTAACTTTACATATAAAATTTTCTTGAAAGGTTCTAGTTGTTTTTTACTCTCAAATACATCATTTTGTTTTTTGTCTTCTATAACGGAACATTTTGTATCTTCATCTGTGTTTGTTGATTCATCTGGTTCATTGCAAATGAAATCATCTTCACTCTCCTCTTTTACAATATCTTCATTTTCTTCTTTTACTATATCTAAACCCTTTTCCAGTAATTTACATGTCTCTCTATACTTATTTATAAACTTACAAAATTCATATAATATATTATTGCACACTACACATATATATCTTGGGTAGCCATCTCGATCTTCTACCTTAAAAAAAAATAAGGAGGAGAAACATTTTGAAAAAATATAATATATATATTTAAATTGCACAGTTATAGTTAATTTAATTTATTAATATTGTTAAATTGGTTGGAATTTTTTAAATAGATACCTTTTCTTTCAAGCACATTGCTAAGTTGTCCTGTATATTAAAAACACTTTCTTCTTTATCAAAAATTGGTAGAGTTGCCCCAGTTGCAAGACAAACTCTACACAAATTAATTGACATGATTCTTTTCTAAATTGGATATGTAATCTTATAACATTTATTTTAATAAGCGTATTTTTATTACGATAATATCCGCATATATATGAAATATAAACATATATTTACAAACGAATACATCGGCGTTTTAAACTTTGTTTTGTCAACAACTCAACACTAGTGAGTAGTGGTAAACGTCAATTGTCAATTAATTTTCATGAAATTGCGTAAATAGGAACGAGCGTATATTAAGCATAAGGAATTTATATTTTTTCTTAACATAAAAACTTACAATAAAGTTTATAATTTTTCCACATTACTAAGATCTGTGAATCTTTCTTCCAAAAAGACAATATTTCTTTTAATACTCTTTCACTGATACGCAATAATTTTTTGAACGAGATCACAAGACCAACCATAGACATAATTTTATCATTACATGTCTTCTGTCATCAGGTGATCGGGAATTAGGAGTAGAATTTCTTCATAGGGATATTTCCAATATTTACGTAAAACAATATGTCTGGGAAAGATAAATTGGCGATTTTCCCTTCTCGGGGGTAAGTATTGATTTGTCATCTTTTGTCTAATTCTATGATTTCTGGCTCTAATACTTTTTTTCCTATTTTCGTCTTTCAGAGCCCAAATGTTAATAAAAGGCCGTTTGGCTGGAGCACAGAAAGGGCATGGTCTCTTGAAAAAGAAGGCTGATGCTTTACAAGTCAGGTTCCGTATGATCTTAAGCAAAATCATTGAGGTGAGAATCATTACCTATATCGACCTATGTTTTTCTCTGCCAAAATCTTGTAAACCTGAAACAATTGACTTTATTATACACCTTATTATGTCATTATCGCCCTATTTGATAAAACTAGTAAAATCTATTCAATTTTTTTTTAACTTAAAATTAAATATCTGAAGTAAAGTATTTTACCATAATGAGAATATTTTATTATGTAGTCATTTATATTCAGAACATAAATCTCTTTATACCATAAATCATTATATTATTTTATAAATGTGTCACATTTATTATCATTAATTATATTTTTTTATTGATGGAATAATACATGTTCATTTACGATTGAAAAGTGATTATGAATGAAACAGACACTATAACTTTATATTTTTTATTTTTTTTATGGATATTTTAATGTTTGAAATTGTTATATAGAGATGTATTTACTATTCTAGACAAAAACTCTGATGGGTGAAGTGATGAAAGAGGCTGCATTTTCCCTGGCAGAAGCTAAGTTTACGACCGGTGACTTCAACCAAGTGGTGCTTCAAAACGTTACTAAAGCACAAATTAAAATTCGCTCCAAGAAAGACAATGTTGCCGGTATGTTTATGTTATCTTTATTTATATAACTAATTTAGTTCTTTATGAGAAACATAAAATATCTTATTGGTAGATTCTGTCAATATTGTGTTTGTTCATTAAGAAAAATTATGCATTATTTAATATTCAGATGCTTAGACTCTCATATTATAACAATTGTATAATGTATAATTTTTAATTCTTATGAAAATTTGAACAAATTTCAAGTAATAAATTCATATTTATTTTTATGTTATAAATTTGTTTTAAAGAATAATTAAGTTTAAATAATAAATATTAGTATAAATGTCAGAGAATTTAAAAGTCAATATAATAGAACTTTACTATTAATTTGTTTTTGAAAAATAAAAATTAATTTAATATCCTGTAGCTTTTTAAGTAATTTATGAGGCTTTGGCTTATATGATATAAACATTTTTTGGAAAAAAAGTAAAAAATATATTCTAAGACAATTTATTTTAAGTCTGTAACTGGAATAAAAAAAAAAAATATGTTAGTATGTTAATGACATACCAGTTAAGAATTTTTTCCTTCTTTTTATCATAATTTTTTATCTCTTAAAAAAATTTATTACTTTTCTCATAAAAATTTTTATTATTCGATCAAAATGTTGAGAATATTAATAAACACACCTGACAGGCAAACCATCGATACAATAATATACGAATGAATAAAGTTATTTCAAAAGTTTACTTTAATTCTTCTCATGTTGTGAAGACAGTGAAACAGTATTATATAATGAGATCTAAGATTTTCTCGAGTTTTATTCATTTAAATGATACTAATATTTTTCGGATTATACTACGTGACTTTATTTTTGATAAAAACTATATACTTCCGACGTTTCGGCTGCTTTACAGCAACCGTGATTCCTTGCAGATGAGATGTGAATGTCTGTCCTCCAAAGTAGTAGTATAAAATCGCGTAGTGTAATTCGAAAAATATTAGTATTATATACTTTTTTGTATAATTAATTACAGCCATGGGCAAAAGTATTAGGCACCCTACAGTAAGACAAGTTTTAGGGTGTTTTAGCATAGCGAGTGTAAATAAAACTGCATTTATGATTACAATGGTTTATTTTAAGAAAATAATTAATATTTTGTAGGTCCACCTTTTGACTTAATAACTGCAGCCACTCTTTTTGGCATTGACTCTACCAGCCTGAAACATTCTTCTCTTGATATATTTTTCCATTCCTGCTGTAACGCGGCCAATAGAGCTTGTTTATTGCTAATCGAGTGCCTGCGGATATTTTTCTTTAAAATGGACCAAATATGCTCAATCGGGTTGAGGTCTGGTGATTGTGGTGGCCAGTACAAAAGATCAATATGATTTTCAGCAAACCACTTCATGGTATGCGCGGACTTGTGGCAAGTGGCGTTGTCTTGCTGAATTTCAGGCCATCGGTGTTTGTATCACCGAAAATTTGCGTTATCGACGTTGCTAGTGCTGTTTCCAGAACTTCAGTGTATTTAACACTATTCATTCGTCCCTCACACAACACCATTTCGCCCACTCCGTCGGCAGCCATGCAGCCCCAGATCATTATTGAGCCTCCACCATGCTTAACAGTGGGAACCACACATTCTGGGTTGTATTCTTCGCCAACCCTTCGCCTAACATAAGTCACACCGGGTGTTCCAAACACCTATGCCAAACGAAAAAAAAACATTTATTTTCAAAGTTATTATTTTTCTTGCAGTACGTTATTTTAAAAACATTTATATGTTTTAATATTGTACATAAAATAAATAACAATAACTCAAAGTTAGATTCGTCTGACCACAGTATGTTGGACCAATCTTCCACTGACCAATCTCTATGTTTGAGTGCCCACTCTAACCGATTTTTCTTATTGTGTTCTGACAGCCACGGCTTCTTCCTTGCTTTACATCCTTTTAATCCAGCTTTAAGAAGTCTTCTTCTCACAGTATAAACACTCACTGAGCTGCCTTTTGCCTCAGATAATGCTGCAGCGAGCTCTAAAGCAGTTTTTTTCCTGTTTTGTAGAGACTGCCTAATCAACAATCGATCTTCCCGTTCAGTAGTAACGTTTCTTCTGCCTGTTCTTGGTCTATTTTCATGGGTGCCAGTCTCTTTTAAGCGATTTATAGCATATTGAACTGCACATCGCGAGCACTTCACTTCTCGGGCTATTTTAACCTGAGACATGCCTTGTTCATGTAAAATCTTAATTCTTAGACGCTGTTCAGCACTAAGTTCAGATTTTTTCGTCAGGATTAACACGTTAAATGTTAGTCTTTAGAATTGTGATAGGAATAGTTGCGTAGAAGACGTGTATGTTCACTACAAGCACTGATAACACACTATAACCCGAAACGCAAAAAAAGCAAATTCGAAGAAACACCGCTTAGGAGCACACCTGGATGTCATAAATATTTTCTTTTATCTTAATTTGGTTAAAAATTGCCGCTAATACAATAGCTAAACCATAAAACACACACTTGACCGCTATCTAATGAGATAGTGACTAACAATAGGGGTGCCTAATACTTTTGCACGCAGCTGTATATTTAATGAACTATTTTCCATGTTCCAGGTGTAACTCTCCCAATATTTGAGTCCTACCAAGATGGTTCCGACACATATGAGTTAGCTGGTCTGGCTCGTGGTGGGCAACAGCTTTCCAAGCTGAAGAAGAACTTCCAGAGCGCTGTCAAGCTGTTAGTAGAGCTTGCTTCCCTACAGACATCATTCGTCACCCTGGACGAGGTCATCAAGATAACCAACCGTCGTGTCAATGCTATCGAGCATGGTAAGACTTTAGTTTTCTATGAATGAGTTCCCCATGGTAATAGATTACCTACCGTATGTTTTCATTATGCATATGTAATATTGTACTATTTCTATTTAGTAATATATTGTTTAAAGTTATTTATTATAGAATACCACAATTGTTATGTCAGACACATAGTAATACCTCATTTTATATACATAGTTGGCTGTTATTAAATAGTAAACTGTATTTTTTAAATGAAATGCTGTAGCAGTACTGTATTGTATTGTAAATGCCTTCATATCACGGTTCCTTAAATGTTTGATCTCTTGTTAGTGAGTTATATGTGCAATGAATATTTATATTCCTTAAAATAATTTAATGAAATACAAAATATTGAAGAAATCTGTATACATTGAAGATTGAGACACCTTTCATATTTGGCTTACACCCAAGTCTCTGGCAAAAGAATAGTTGTTAAACCTATCTATAATATTTTCCTTCAGTAATTATTCCCCGTCTGGAGCGTACCTTGGCCTACATCATCTCCGAGCTGGATGAGCTGGAGCGTGAGGAGTTCTACCGCCTCAAGAAGATACAGGACAAGAAGAAGATCATCAAGGACAAAGCCGAGGCGGTATGACGGTTTATCTGCTATATAATGAAAGTTACATCAAAAACGCTGTAGCTAATATGACCCTGGCTAAAGCTGGGAAATTGCCAGGAAGAAGTGTAGCTAAATTGAGTAGTTAATCTGTCATCATTTTATATATTAAGTTTTTAGTTATATGGCAATACTGAATCTTGAGTTTTCATACAAAGTCCAGAAGTCTAGTGTCCACTCTTCATCAGTCCTTTTATGGAATGATGTTGATAACTTATCATTTACTATTTCTATTAATAATACTACAGCATTTTAAACTTTGTGAAAGTCACAGTATCAGATGATTGCAATATTTGAAATCTCTTACAATAAATTGTTGTGTTTAATACAGTTTTTCATATAAAATGTTACAAAACCTAACAATATTTATATTATAAATTAAATCTCTTTCCAGAAAAAAGCTCTAATGTTGGCAGCCAACCGTGACCAGGACATGAGGGACAGTGTTGCCAACTTGTTGGACGAAGGCGATGAAGATTTGCTCTTCTAAAGCATTGAATGTTAGTAGCAGTCGAATTGAAGCCACACTTGAACCGATAGATGTTTTATTGTTTGGATTATTTACTATGAAGGCTCAAGAAGTATTCGATACTAGGAGAACGATTTGACTGCTCCATATTGATATTACGGTGTACATACAAAGTATATTGTTGTCATTGTTATTTGCTTGAAATTATATCCTATCGTCCCGCGCTATGGTTCAGTATTTAATGTTAGCGTCTTAACATCTTGTATGTAAGCATTCCAAGTTTAATAAAATAATATTTATATACAGAAATATATATTATATTAAGAAATGTGTAGAAAATTTAGTTTAATATGGCCCAGAAGTCAAAGCTTCAATGTAGTCAGTATAAGTACACCCCATTATGCTATTGTTTTTGAATTGTTGTTTGATAGATCAGTTTATTTTAAGTAATCATGTAAATACAAGTTGCTGAAACAAATATCAAATATTAATGAATTATATGTTGTTTTATTTAACCACAACTAACCGACTTTAAAAACTATTTATCATAAAATTTGGCTTTGTTCATTGATATCGTAATATCTGAAAATAGCACTAGATGGCGGTAAAACAAAAATATACTTGCTAAAGCCTAATCGTTACCGAAATTACTGAGAAATATTATAAATGCTCAATAAAATTAAATTTTAATGTAGTTGTCAGTATTAATAAATAAAACTGAAAGATTTATTGTGAGGGGTCTATAATTTAAAATTTCAGTAGACATCAGTTTAGATTTAAGGTAAATACTTAACATTTAACGACTTTAATGTTGTGTTTTTATATGTATGCTATAAAAATATGTATTCAAAGCACGATAAAATTGTAAAGAAGAATTATATTTTTAAGGAAGCAAAGTAAAAATTATTCAATTCAAAGTCTTAAAAAACCGCATTTTTAATATAAAACGTGACTTTTAATTATTAAATCGGAAAATAGGAGTTGTAGTTTTAAATTGCTTACAAGATATCCAAATATTCGTCGTCGTCATCAGCCTCTCAGCGCCCACTGCTGAGCAAAGGCCTCTTCTCACATGGAGAAGGTTTGAGCATTGATCACCACGCTTGCTCAAGACGGGTTGGTGATTTCCAACTCATAATTGTGAAATTATAAGTCCAGGTTTCCTTACGATGTTTTCCTTGTTTGTCAGTGTTGTCTAAATACTCTCAGAAAGTGCATTTGACTCGGAAAAATCACATTGATACTTGCCAGGGCCAAACCCACGCCCTCGTGCACGAGAGGCGGGCCCTTTAACCACTAGGCCACCACTGACTTATTAATGTAAATTTATTATGATTTTTGAATTATAATAACTACAATAATTCTTACAATAAATGTATCTAAAAAACTGATTACCAAAGTCGGAATATAAAACCTACGGTCAGCTAAAGCGATTCAAGCCGAGCTTTACCGAGCGCTGTTCCGTTTAATCAAACTCCACGATATGTAACACGACATGCAACAGACGGACGAAAAAAATGACGTCACTAAAAGAAAGCCTTACCTTCCTAGAAGGTGAATACATGGTATTTCATTAATAAATGTATGTTGATGTTATGAAATAAACTTAAGTTTATTTTATCAAGGACGGATTTACATAAGATTTCAGAATGGTGTACCGAATAGTAGTTTATTGAACCACTTGATGCACGATTAAGTATGGCACTATTTTTATAAATGCTATTTTTATTTACCGTATTTTCATTTTCCAACAATAAGACTTAAAAAAAGACATTTGCTGCATCTCTAGTTTTAGTGCAAATATAATTTTAATTTCTATTTGAATATTTCATAAAATACGTAATACTTGTACCTTAATGGTAATCATACAGAGACATATGATTCTAAAATATTAAAATAGTTTTTCATACGAGTAATTGAATCTTTTACCGGTCAATATATAAATGTCTTCTAAAATAGGTGTCGCCGCGTCAGCTGAAAACCATTAAAAGACGTCGCTCGCTGAAAGTTTCAAAACACTATTTATTTCAATTGTTATTAAACCTTACTTCTTAGTTTTATAAATATATCATACGTGTACAATTTTAAACGAACAGATGTACTTATCATATTGACAAAATCTATTCGCACGGAATCATTCATGAAACACCATATAGAAAAAAACTGTATAAAATCAATAATTTACACACGGCTTCCAAAACCATAATTCACTATTGTATCCATTATAAGTCAGGGTAAATAATATTTATGCCCTCTTCTCTTAAGGAGGCCGAATTCTACGGCGCACCTTAAAATAGTGCTAATAGATTTTCCCGTTTTGCTGGGGTCATGGGCATCTTTGTAGTGTTTTTTTATAAAGTTGATAACTCTCCTCGACGTGAGGCCGTCCTTCGTGGGCAGACAGTGGAAGGCCCAGAGTACTATCGCCGCTGGTACGTACCGGCGTAGACCGTTTCTGATCCTTGAATAATTCATCGTGTCCCGATATGAATTCCCAGAGTAGGAGGAACAACTCAAACTCGACCTAGAGCTTCTGTACTTCATTTTAACTTTCAACAGGTAATTTGTGACTTGTGTGTTTTCGATTTTTTTTTGCATCTATCAACTGGAATGACACTGACGTATAGAATGTCACAAGACATTTGAAAGTGACGATAAATACTTATTTTATAAACCTGTTTATTCACGTACAATTAAGTAGAGTATAAAATATTAAAAAAATGAGTGATTATATTATTTATTGGCGACTATAAAAAGATAGAATTTGTTTTGCAACTACTGATTATTTGGATTAATAAATAAAGTAAGCGCATGTTTGCTATACATATAATTAACATTTCTTTAACATGATAGCTTTATACATATCTCATATGTAATTTCGGCGTCCAATAACTACTTGCCCGAGTTTCCGGACGATCGATCGCCCGACTAATCGCTCGACCAGTCGCCCGACCGGTGGATATCCAATGAAAGAACAGTATCCGGTAACTGAGGGTGAATTATTGCGACTTCATTTACTGTGACGCGTATTTCGCGATGAATGTGGAACAAGCTTTTGTGACTCTTATGGATGTAGGAGGAATTCACTTCTTATAGTCATAGATAGAAACTATAGATAGGTTCGAATATAAAACCTCCTTACACATCTATGGATGTTAGACAGGTAATATACAGATATGATTTTCATGAGAAATTATTAAATTAGTCTCAGAATTCCATAAAACGCTTGTATTAAGTAATTTTACGGAATCTATAGCTTATAGTTAGAATAATATGAGAGTAGTCTGTCTGTTATAAACATTGAATGTGTTCATTAAAATGAGGGGATTTTTTCTTTGATCCGATGCGAGTCCATTGTGCTAGGAGACTGGAGATCGTAGCACCTCCACCTACTTTGTACTTCACAATGCTAATTGTAAATAATCTTTCATTATTTCATTTCATACTGACTCAATAATGAGTTTATTATTATTTTGATTAAATAAGTTGTTTCTCTAAAGCCCTTTGTAATAATAGATTTTTATCTGATCGATTAAAAACGCGAGCTTCACTTAGTTAATAGGTTTCGGTAAATTTTATGGAAAATTCTAGTTCCACAATCCCGGCCCTAATATTTCATCAGGTCCTAATACCAGTATAAGTTGAGCTAACTTTATATCCACGTGTAGGGTTGGTAGAGCTCAGCAGTGAACTCGCCAAATATGATGAAAAATAAACCGTATATTGAGCTAAGTTCTACGTGATGCAACTTTGATAGCTTGAAATGGGATATTAATGTATAATAATAATTTATTTGTTAATATATTAAACGTAAAAAAGAGTTTCACACTGATAAGTGTGTAGTGTAAATAATTGCTAATGAAATTATATTTTTTGAATTTCAGAATAATCTTAATAGATTAAATAAATTCTTATAATTTAGAAAGTAGGTACGTACGGACATAACATACCTAATTACAAGACTTTTATACAACATTTGTAGGTAATCGCAATTTTATTGAAATTTCCAAGTGATTCCAAACCAATTCGATTTAAATATTCAATATTATTAAAATATTTTTTTTTTTTTACAATAACATGAATAAATCGTATTCTATTTAATTTACATATTAAAAATATTTCTTTTTTATCGAAAAACTGATGTTATTTTACATATAATATGAAGATTTTTCTTTCAATTTTCTTTTCTAGTATACAACTTTTTAGGTATTTTTCTTCTATTATGTTTACTTTTATATATTTTCAACACTATCCCGTATGTACCTACTACCTACATCCAACCCGCGGGATTTAACATATATTTCGTTGTTACACAACAATCGAAGTACACAAATTAATCGCATACAGTGTTAAATTTATTTCTAAATAACTCTGTATCGATACGCGTAATATCTGGCAGATTATTAAACCATAACATATTCTGGCTACGTTCGAAGTTATGGTTACATTTTATTAAATTTTGTGGCGTCGAATTAAAGCCATAAAACGTTATATAATTTATCTTTTTATAATTAATTTATATGCGTTATTAACTAAAAACTTAGCCACAGAAGTCACATAGCTGTCCCGTTTTTTCATAATTTTTTTTAATATAAAATTTAAAAATCAAAATTATCCTCGAATTATATTAGAAATCTAGATTACATAAGTTTTGTTTCAAACGAGATATTGGATCGTAATAAGTAAACGAATAATGTTACTGAGACTTAGAAACACTGGTTTGCAGACTTAAAATCAATAGCTTTCAGTTTTCCCTGTCTCAGAAGGTAAAGGACTTGTACCTACGAATATGTATTATATAAATTAAAATGATTCAACAAATACATATAATCTCAAAAGTCGTCAAACTAAGATATTATTATTATATTATTTGAAATCGTTTGTTTTTATTTTTCTTTTTTATACATATATTTCAGTTGGTTTCGTAAAAATTAAAATGTACACTAATTTTACTGTAAGAAGATTTGTAATTGATTTGCTTAAATTACTTTTTTTGTTTTGGCATACGATTAAGACAAAGACTTGAGTGGATTTAAAATTTCCATCCTACTTGAAATATGTCAGGGATCGAGGGCAATACATATTGTATACATATGTATATGTAGGAATATTTCAGAAATGGAGTATTTTTAAATGGGTAACATAAATAAGCTTTATATCTGTATATGTAAAAAATGATGATTTTTTATTGTCAAAATTGATTTTATTAAGTTCAAAAAATCCGATATGAATTTTAATATTAATTTTGATTATTTTTTTCATATATAAGTAAACGAGTATATATTTTATCCATTATTCTGTCAATTAATTTGGCGAGTCTTCAATAAATATGTTTTATATTTTCAATAATAAAGAGTGTTCAATTTAGTCGTTAGATCATAAGTCAGATAGTTTGCCAGTCAACAGTTAATTTAACTGTGGTTATATAATTCAGTAAACCATTTCCTCTAACAAATTAAAGTTAATACACGCCTCGCTCGGGACCGACACTAAACCCTTTTGTTAAATCATTTACTTTATATTATAATAAGATTTTTCATTGAATTTCGCTTCAAATTCTTTGTCATTTTCAACAAATCGTTCATCCGCTTTCCTATTGAAAACAATATTTTTTTAAGTAAAATTTGTTTATAAAAACTATTTTCCGTAGCAAACTAAAAGAAATTGAAAACAATGTCATGAAAAATGCATATTTGTCAGTCCCGGTACATAAATTGACGATAAAAATATCGCATGAAAATTCTGTACTAATCTGCCTCATTTCTTGGTAGGGTGGGTGGGTGTGAGGGTGCTTGGGGGTGTCTGGGGGTGTTGGGGGTGCTGGGTCGGGAGGGGGCTGGGTTCGAGTGTTGTTCCCTGTAAACGTCACCAGCGATCATCGTTTGAAAAGTTCGTATAAGCATAAACATCCGAAGGTATATCAGTTTAAAATATAATTCCTATTTGATTTTTTTGTTTTAAATTCCCCGGCAGTTTTTGTGGTTTTTTTTTATTTGTTTTTTGTGTAATATTTAGTTTTTTTTTTCTATATATTAGTTTAATCGATATTATACTCCTATGTATCACAACTGAACGCTAGCCACAATGTTCTCTACTATGCAAACATAATGTGATTTATTTCAAAGCGATTGTTTTTTTATTTATTCTCAATATTTTCCATCACATTAGCGTTTCTGATGTTCAATTATAATTCCTAGTGCCATTTACCAGTAAATTAAAAAAAACCTAGATCGATTAAATTAATTCATTTTTATCAAACAAATCTTGTATTAAATTTTAATAGTAAGATTGTTGTTGTTCTAAGTAAAGTTTAAAAAGAATTTTACATACAATACATATTAATTGTATATTTTTCTACAGTACTTATATGTATTTGTAATAACTTACATATCGTTTCTTTGTCCTGGATTTTTCGTTCACTTAATCTATTTAACTTTTAGCTTTAGTCTTTTAGCTTTATTTTATTAATTATAATAATATAACAAACAGACGCACATATTCCTTTTCATATATATATTAAGTAAAATTCTAAGTTTTAAGCAATTTTCTTTTGTGTTAGTGGAACGGGCGAGGAGCTTTGTTAAAACTGAATATAGGTTAAGTTATAGTCAGATGGATATTTTACTTTTTATGTTTTATCAATCAATGATTTTATACTATCTATATATCCTGACTTCACTCGTATAACAATTAAAAATAAATTAATTAAATAATTGCGAATGAATAGCCTGTCTCTCGATGTGATAATTCGTTATTATTTTCAATATATATAATATCTGGACGTATTAATTCTATTAGGTAATGTTATTTCCCCCGGGTACGCTCGCTAGTGGCTACCATCAAGGTTAAATTGATGAAGGTTCTATATGTCTTATTATTTATTTAACTGACTGCGGGGTTTTGATTCCGAATAGTACAGAGAGATGAATCATGTACATTTATATTATTGTTTTGTACAATTCATTTAATGGGTAACTTTATAATTCTTCTTCTACCTGGCAATTTCCCAGCTTTAGCCAGGGTGGTCTGCTTACATGTTGTGAATAGATTTGGGTTATTGTTTTTACGATTGACAGTCTGCTTGACATCAACCTTCTTTGGGAATGCATTAATCAGTGATGTCTAAATACTCTTAGAAAGTACAATATGACTCGGAAAAATCACATTGGTACTTGCCAGGATTGAACCCACGCCCTCGTGCATGAAAGGCGGGCCTTTAACCACTAGGCCACCACTGATTTGTAGGTATATACCTATATATAGGTATATATAATATTATAGTATTGAAAATAATCTATTGTTTAATCTATTCTGAAAAGATTTAATGAAGTTTCGACAATATTAATCTATTAAGCCCTGTACCTTTTTTGTTTCAACATGAATACTGTCAAGTACTGTTCATTTAATATAGAGACGAGGATCTAAACAGCGGAATCCTTAGAAATTATTATTTAAAATGAAAATAAAGTTAATACAAAAGATACATTTAAAATATTTTGCTAAAATGTATGCATGAATATATATGTATTTTAATTTGAAAATAT